AGTGGATTCTGTAATTTTGCCCAGAATGTCATTGCCTTCAGTATTCTTAACCTGATCAGCCCGCTAAGTTACTCTGTCGCAAATGCCACAAAAAGAATCATGGTCATCACGGTGTCCCTTATAATGCTTCGCAATCCGGTTACCAGCACCAATGTCCTTGGAATGATGACAGCTATCTTAGGGGTCTTCTTATATAACAAGGTAAGGTTTTGAAACAGTCTAGTAGCTTTGAATGATTTTTGTTTGTACAACAAGTTAACAGCTAGCAGAACGAGAATGTAGAACGCGTGGCATAAAACTTCATTGCAGAGGAGGTACGTCTATCACCTCAGCGAAGTACTCGGGTGCTTGGGTCAGGGCAGCTGTTACGTCTCTAACAAACTTAAATTTTGACCTCAGTATTTTCTTGAAAAATGAAGATTGGGAAGGAACTCGCTCAAATCTCTTGAGCAAAAGAGCAGCTTACTGATTTGGCGTATGAGAGGAATGAGGTTTTTATTAGGAGTCATTAATATTTTAAGACTCTAACAGGCATAGATAGTAGTGTAATTGGAAAACTGTATGCTTTTTTCTAGCTGTATGAATATGTTAGGTGATATCTAAGAAAAACTTTCTTTCTTTCTTTCTTCCCTAGACAAAATACGATGCAAACCAAGAAGCAAAGAAGCAGCTACTTCCAGTTACGACTGGAGACCTTGTGAATTTGGACCGGCATAGAAACACTCCTGAAAAGTCTCAGAACGGACTTACGGCATTTGCACAGCATGGAGACTATCAGTATGGTCGAACCAATATCTTAACAGACCACTTCCAGTATAATCGGCAAAACTATCCAACTACCTACAACTTAAATCGTTTTGATATATAGAATCCTGGCAAACAGGTATAGACTCTGATATCAAAGTGTCCCCAACATTATCAGAAACTTTTAGTACATCCATGAATGTAAAGCCATTTTATTGTACAGTTTTTGCAGAAGGGAAGATACATGTGTAGTGAAAGCAGTACAGACCCTCAACTTCTGCTAAGCAGACCTTTAAACATGAAACAGCTAGATCTGACACTGGAACTAAATGCACAGTGTAGCTCTTGTACGGAGATTCTGGTGAAGTGCACGTACAAAACTTCAGAGTAAAATATCTGCTGTCGTTGCTCCTTTTCAGTCTGTCAACTGAGTATTCTTTTGGCAGCTAAATTCTGGCCAGTATTGTGTCTCCACGCCGGTAGCGTCACCTTTAATTTGTTCTCTGATGTTTTCTAATGATATTTGGATGAAACTTTCAGAAAGAAGTGAAACTAAGGCGTACTTCTGGTTATCAGGATTTGTCTGTCTGAGGAGGATTGACTTACGTATATCAGTTGCAGATAGGTAGACCTGAATTCATCTCGAGCAACTACGAAACTTCATGTGGGTATTAATTACTTGTGTGCCTATGCCTTCGGTTTTTGATGACAAACCAGAAGTGTTTCTGAAAGAGCAGGCAGTAGAAAGGTTGATCTCTTCAAGGAGCGTACTTCAGGCGTAGGGAAACAGAATTCTCTGAAATGACTGCTGTCCCAGTCACTGTAGATAACAAACAAACAGAGCTTGAGATCGCAATTGTTTTCTGAATAATGTAGTCCTGTAACTTCAGACATTGCTCTTCCTTGGCAATACAGAAAACACCTTCACAAATAAAGTGTTTGGAATAATACGATTTTTTTTTTTTTACTTGCTCCACACCTGTTCTTACAGAACTCCTTTGTTGCTTTAGAAATTGTAAGGTTTAAGGTGTTTTCTTCTCAGTTTTATGCATAAATTATGCTTTCTTATATGATTCATATATTATGAATGCATTAATTTGAATAATCATCATTCTTAATTGTTTCTTAAGTCTATATTTTTAGCCCCTAATTGTTTTTCTTAAGTTTCTTAATTACTGCTGTTGGAGTTGCTGTGTGCATTTAGCCTGACTTCCACTTTCTGCTGAAAAGAAGTTGAATTTGGTATCCTGCTCTGTTCCTGCAACTCCCCTAGCTCAAACAGTAAATCGTTAAGAAAAAATTATTTGGATCAGCAGTAAATAGATAACTTGTCGTTAAGAAGAACTGATTCAGTTAGTGTAAATGAACGTGCTTAATTCTAGACAAGCTGGTGGTTGTGCGTCAGATGCTGCATTTGTGCATGAAAGGAATGAAACGAGTTGAACTTGGGTTTCACTGAATCGGATTGTTATTGTTATTACTTTAGCAAAAGAAGATTTTAGGGGCCTTCTTTCCTTAACAGAAAAGCTGTTGTACAGTGAGATTTTTGATAGCATAAGTTTTATGGTTTTATTAGAGAGGTATTAGATACCAGTGAGAAAGTTTAGGGTGTGGTGCAGAACACTCCCTCCACTTATTTATTGCTTTAAAAATGACCATTTCCGTGATGTGAGATGATGATTTGGGTCCTTTCTGGATAATAAAGAATTTATTTTTAAGTGCAAATTCAACCTGATCTTATTCTTTTGGCAGACTGTGGAGGCAGTTATGTAGACAGCCTTCCACCATACAGTCCAAAAGAGGAAATGGTCCTTCTGAAACTTCAGAGATGGGTTAAATATGCTGCTAATGTTTGTGAGCGGGACTTCGTTCACTTGCCTGGAGTTGAATCTGTTCCTGCTCGCTTAGAACTTGGGCTTTTAGTTTAGAAAATCTAAATAAATTATTCCCTAACCCGGGTTAACAAAAACAAGATAATGAGGAAAGGCATTCTTTCAGATGAAATTGCTTTTGCCTCTTCCAGTATTAATTTATGCATAATTGTTTCTTTTTAATATGGGAAAGTGCAAAATGTGTATTTCTAAGGCTCACTTCCCAATATTTAAGTGCTTTTACATACATGTAAAAAGGATTGTGTGGGCTCTGGATTTGGATTAGGTGCTGGCTCTGCAAAAGACTGATTTGAGGATGAGATATTTAGGCTGAGATTTGTAAGAGGGGCTGAAGTTCTCCAGCTGTAAAGTGTTAGACTCCTGCAAATGCTTATTTGTGTTCTTTGTGCCTCAGTTTCCCATTTGGAAAATGGAGATGATTCTTCCCTACTTTGTAGGGGGGTGAAATACCAGAAGAAGGTAGCAGTGGGGGCCCCAGGGAGGTGCAGGCATACTACGAGTTCATCTCTACATCTTCTGGTATGTCTGCCGCTGTACCATCTCCGTATAACTTGAACTGTTACTTGGAATAAAGCTCTGCATACTTTATTCACGGATCGGAGGCTTTATTAAATATATTCAGATGGTTTCCTTTTAAAGAACACAACCAGACCTTTTTTGCAACTGTTTTCAGAGAAAGCTTGCGCTGCACGCTTATTGTGGCAGGTCTTTAGCTCAGCTTTTTCTGTCGAGAGTATGGTCGCAGTTGAGGGCTTTCTGTTGAAAATACCTTGTCCCAAATTGCGGTCTGGGCTTGTGGCCTCGCTGTGTCTCTGAGACAGAACTACTGTACTTGTAGAGCAAAAAGGGACTGACCCAAAATGAGGATATCATCCGTTTAGGGCCCGGAGAGTGAATCTCTTCCCTGGAGACTGCCCGACAGTGTTCCTGCTCTTCTAGTTCAGGTCTGTGGTCAACAGGGGTAATTTTGTACGGTAGAACATATAATTAAAGCGGTTAAGTGAATCGGTTACAAGAGGTGGTTTTGCTGAGCACCTGAATCCAAGTCCTTAAGCAATATTGCCCACATTCAGGTAAAGGAAGTTTCTGATACTGTTGTAATATATATTTTAATCCTGGACCGCTGTGAGATTTTGTTTGGCAAGGTGAAACATTTGTTTTAACACGGTTTGTAAATTAATGACGTGTTTAACTCTGTACATAGGTCTGTAGAAAGTATGGAAACACTGGAATAAAAAGGGCATATCTAGACAATCGTGTATAATGACCCTGTTATTAAATCAAAGTGAAGGGGGTTGGTTTGGGTTTTCTTCCTTGCAGGAAGCTTTGGGAGTGCCATACGTTAGTAGTAATGGCCACTCGTGAGAAATCGGATTAATGTTTTGCTCTATGGGTGTGACACCTTACCGGATGGTTCCGTAGGCTGAAACTACGACGATTTGGATACCGTAACGAGTGTTAGGACACTAGTCGCTGGTATTCTTAGAAATGTTTTGATTTCTGTTGTGCATTTCTAACGTACATGTAAATACATCACAAAATTGCGAAATTCTTCCTGAAACGGTCCTGGATGGTTCTAGAAACACCAGTGTGAAAGAAACCAATCTCTCCCCACTGCGTGTGGGTTTTCTGTTGATAGCTCCGTAGAGTATTTGGTGCTCTTTGAAGATCTCTTGAAAATATTTCCCTTGCAGATTCAATTTTAGTACCCAGTAGTGATTAGAGCATCTTTATCATCTGGTAAAATGCTTGTGGTTTTTTAAGTACCTGAATGCTAAATAAAATGGAGGCGATACTTAGGCTTTGTAGGTGTACAGTGATTTGTAAAAATGGTGTTGGTAATTTGGGGTCAACTCATGATGATTCCTGAAGCTCAAGACCTTTTCTTTCTAACGTGTGTTCAAACCCACATTTTTCTGATGTAGCATTTTGCAGCAGAAGGAACTTCTGCCATGTAGCTATTTGTGAAAAAGGTGCAATATAAATAAAGGGAAAGTTTTGTTTTTCTAAGGCTTCCATTTCTGAACCGTGTTGTAAGCTGATAAAAATAATTCTGGAATATCTTTGTGGTGATGGTACAGGCTGCTAAAACAAAAATTTGTTAATCCTGAGATCACGGGTGTACGATACAATCACATTATGTAGATATGCAAGTGCAAATATGCAGGTGGCAGTTACCGCCCAGCTTTTTTTTTTGTTGTTTGTTTTTTTTATGTTGATACTCTATAAATCAATGTGAATATGGGTGGTTTTACCAAAAAACCCCACACTCCTTACTGTACGAAATCTGGCACTTAAGCAAATGAACACTTTCGTATTGTTTTCCCGTTCTTATCCCAACTCTGTCGTTCTGTGAAGTTCTGGATGTCACTCAGCCGGATTGTCGGCGACGCACCCCTCCAGCCTGTCGATACTGCTGCTGAAGCCGGGATCCCTTACGGGCTGATGGGAAGAAACCACCCTGGTGACTTCCAGGTACCGGGACTCCTTCCTGTCTAAAATAAATCGGGCATTCAGATGGGTTTTGGCGGACGCCTCTGTCAGGTAACTGTAGCTTTTGGGGCACTTTGTGGATAAACCGTTGCTGCGTGCTGAGGAATGTGGCAGCCTGGACGGTGACTGCGTCGGCTCTCAACGCGCAAAGCAGTAACGTTTGTGTTGGGATGGAAGGCGGCGGCAGGAATTTTGAAAAGTTTCTTATTTTTGAGTATGAGCTAAGATTTGAACTTAATCTGGTCTTCGGGGATCTGTGCTAATTTCCAGGACTGCTGAGTGATGTAGAATTGCGATCAGTCTGTATCTGATTTTTTTTTTTTTTTGGTGTTCATTTGTTATTTGGGTACATGGAAACACACATCTTTCTGAGTTTTTATATTCTGTAGATAATATAGCGGGGTCTTTGTGATATGTCTTGTTAAGAATAAAAAGTTCTGCCTTTTTGTGAGGATGTCTGTGTTATCTGTGTGACTGGAAATCCTGTCAAGTGTAATTTAATGCCTGAAACTTAAGATAGTGATTACAGCTCCAGGTGAGCGTTAGGATACTCAGGTTTGCTTTTGGCCTCTTACGATTCCCGGATGATCGCTTGTAGATTCAATTTTCCTAAAATTTTAAGACACCAAAATTATTTGGGCCCCACTTTGAGTTTTGATGTCTAGTTCTCATATAAATGGTCCTCAAGCATTTTTGTGGGGTTTTTTGAATCGTCTAAGTAGAGGGAGTTGAGCAATTTCTGCCGTGCCCTGTACCTCTTGACAAGGGTGTGAAGCTGATCAGATCAGTACCTGGCTTTTGAGGGAATGTTTTCCTGAATCCAGCAGGTATGTGGTGTATTTTTAATCCCATTTTGAAAGGCAATGGAGTATCAGGTGCCAAAGGGAAGTTAAGGTAAGAACCAGAAACATGCATTTTCATTTTAACGGCATAAAGAAATGAAGTCACTTCAGGAAAGCAACAGTGCTTAAGTATGACTTAACACACAGATGCTGTGCAGGGACGTTTTCTCTCCTTAACAATCATATTTTAAGCTCACTTTGGTCTGTACTGAGCGTCCTCCACATCCACGATCCTTTTTACACCATGCCAATGCTCTACGTAGCTGAAGTGCCACTGCAATGGATTGTCCACTAAGATGAAACACGTTAAACGACGTGCTTTCTTTTAACGCTGTTAACTTCTGGCAACTGAACTGCAGCTTGGACGTGGTGTTTTAAAAGAAGAGGAACCAGCTGCTTCTCGAATGGGCGTGATCTGACACCTCTGCAGGTACCGGGGAGCCGAGCGGGAGAGGAGGAGGTCTCGCAGGCTGCAGCCCAGAAGCAGCTTCTTCAGGGGCCGGCGAAGGCGACGTGCGTGCAAGCCTCGGGGGACGGGCGCGTTACGGGCCGAGGTGGCTCCGGCACCACCGACAGGGCGGCCTGAGGCCCTGGCCT